CTGCCCCGCAAGCCCCTTCACAACGCAGCCCACGGCTTTCTGAGGTGCCCCGTGGCCAAGATGCATATTATTCATTCACCCACCCCGGGATGTGGAGTCCTCTATACTTGCTATGAGTAGGGCCACATCAACATGGGGACCTTGCCTTTGCCACTCCCAAGATGGCACCACGGCTTCTCACGTCCCCCCATGAGCTTAGTCACTCCCACATCAGCATGTCCCATAATATTCTTTTACTTTCTCCTATTGAAGACTTTTTTTTTTTTTTTTTTTGAGACAAGATGTTGCTCTGTCTCCCAGGCTGGAGTGCAGTGGCACAATTATGGCTCATTGAAGCCTCAAACTCCCAGTAGCTTGGGACCATGGATGCATGTCATCACACCTGGCTATTTTTTTCTATTTTTCTATAGAGATAAGGTCTTGCTATGTTGCCCAAGCTGGTCTCGAACTCCTGGACTCAAGCGATCCTCCTGCGTCAGCCTCCCAAAGTGCTGGATTACAGGCAGGAGCCACTGTGCCCAGCTTGAAGACTAGTATAAAGTCACTTACATGGCAAGTGCCACAAAACCAAGCTGATATGAGGTATTAAGGGGACACTTAAAAAAATAGGGAGTGTTGTAGTAATTCTAAAAGTGTTCAGAATCAGGAGATGGTGTGGATAGTCCTTGTGAATTCCTGATGCACAATCAGATGGCCGACTTCCAGATGGGGTTAATAATACTTTCTGCAGAGCAGTTGACAGGGGCCAGAGCCTCAAATCATCAACCTCACTTGAACTGTCTTACTCCTTGGAATCCAATAATACGATTTATAGTGAAATGAAAGCTTAGATGCAAAAGAAGCCAGGGCTAGAATCTGGTGTTCTTTCCATGAACACTTTAGCAAGTGGAAGCCAAGAATGGAAAATGGGCTACAGACACGGAGTTTGGGGAGTGAGGTCATTTTGGTAAGTGAGAGTGAAGGGAGGAAGCAGAGGGCTGAAACTCAGGCCCCAATATGCCTAGAGAAGCCTCTTGTTATTGATGAGATTCAAACGAGTGATTTTTCCTTTTGCCAAAGGCTCTAACATGGTTTAACTAATTTTCTCCTTCCTTCCTTCCTTCCTTCCTTCCTTCCTTCCTTCCTTCCTTCCTTCCTTCCTTCCTTCCTTCCTTCCTTCCTTCTCTCTCTCTTTCTTCTTTCTTTCCTTTCCGGTGTGGTGGTGGTGGTGGTGGTGTTTTTTTGAGACAAGGGTCTTGCTCTGTTGCCCAGGCCAGAGTGCAGTAGTGCAATCTGGGCTCACTGCAACCTCATCTTCCTGGGTTCAAGAGATTCTCCTGCCTCAGCCTCCTGAGTAGCTGGGATTCAGGCAGGCACCACCACACTTGGCTAATTTTTGTGTTTTCAGTAGAAACGGGGTTTCACCATGTTGGCCAGACTGGTCTCAAAAGCCTGATCTCAAGTGATCTATCTCCCTCGGCCTCCCAAAGTGCTGGGATTACAGGTGTGAGCCAACGCGCCCGGCCCTCTCTCTTCCTTTCAACAGGGTTTTCCTATTGCCCAGGCTAGAATGCAGTGGTGATCATAACTGACTGTAGCCTTCAACTCCTAAGCTCAAGTGATTCTCCCACTCCAGCCTCCCCGGTAGCTTAGACGACAGGCATTCATCACCATGCCTGGCTAATTATTTTGTTTTAGAGGTGAAGACTTGCTATGTTGCACAGGCTGGTCTCTAACTCTTTGCTTCAAGCAATCTTTCTGTCTTAGATTCCCAAAGTGCTGGGATTACACTTCGGGTGGGTGAGCCGCCACACTCATTCCTAATATCCTGTGTTTATCTAAAACTTTGATGTTTTATTCATCATGTGTTTTCCGTGGGTGTTAATTTTTTTTTTCCCCAAAAATGGAGTTCAAATGTTAACTTGATTGCGGAGATTTTCAGCACACTCTTCAGTTTTGTGCTCACTCGTTCTAGACCTGTCCCTGAACGGAGGGTAAAATGATTCAGGATGGGACCGAAGACTTCACTGACCACTAATTTCAGTTTTTCTTTTTCCTTCTGATCAAATGTACAACAAACAATGATTTTTGTTCCTCAAAGGAAGCTGTAAGAACGGCAAAACCTGAAAGAAGGGATCAGCCTTTACAATTCTCTTTGGTCCACTACCCTCCATCTGGTCTACTCACTGACTCACCCCTGGGATCCAAATTGGGGTGACACCGTTACTACTGATCCCTTTAACCATCTTGATCAAGCTCTGTAAAAAGTCTTTTCCTTTGTGTTCTGAAAAATGTTAGAAATTACAAATAACTTTTTTTTTTTTTTGAGACAGAGTTTCGCTCTCATTGCACAGGCTGGAGTGCAATGGCGTGATCTCGACTCACCACAACCTCTTCCTCCCAGGTTCAAGCAATTCTCCTGCCTCAGCCTCCTGAGTAGCTGGGATTACAGGCGCCCGACACCACGCCCAGCTAATTTTTGTATTTTTAGTAGAGACGGGTTTCTCCATGTTGGTCAGGCTAGTCTTGAACTCCTTACCTCAGGTGATCCACCAGCCTCAGCCTCCCAAAGTGCTGGGATTACAGGTGTGAGCCATCATGCCTGGCCACAAAAAACTTTTAATAGAAAAATAATTGGGCCAGGTGCAGTGGTGGCGGGCGCCTATAATCCCAGCTACTTGGGAGGCTGAGGCACCAGAATCGTGTGAACCTGGGAGGTAGAGGTTGCAGTGAGCTGAAAGCATGTCACTGCACTCCTGCTGGGGCAACAGAGTGAGACTCTATCTCCAAGAAAAATACTTAAAAGAATAGCAACCCATAAAAATTGTTAAGTTTAAAGAACACAGATTTGGCACCCCTCTGGTCTCATTCACCTCCCAGTGAATAAAAGATAGCTGTATATCAAGGACCTGTTCTGGTATGTAAACAAGCATATGTGCCACTGGTTATTGAGTTTTGGTAGATTTTGAGAGAATCTTTGCCCTTGCTCTGATAATCTTGAATGACGTAAAAGATCTGCAGTGGTAAGGGATGTATCGAGACTGTTCAGTCTTAAATGCCTCAATTAATATGAACAAACACTGGAAACACAGACAGGTATCAGGACCATTTCTACCATACTATACTCAACACTGAACACTTCTTATACAAAGTAAGGACAGCCAGACATTCAAATCACTGAGTGTTTTATTGAACAATTAAGAAATGTATAACCATTTCATTACTTTACAATGGTAAAACCGATTTGTAACTTTTTCTGTGAATATGCGAATTTGTACTTGAAAGAGTTTAGACTTGTATTGAATGAGGTGTCTCTTGACAATCAAGTGGTTTTTTTTTTCAGTACAAAATATACAAACAAGTACGTGTTTTAAACATAAATATAAACATAAACATAACTGAGACTAGCTTATGTTTCTACTCAAATGCACTTGTGGAAAGTACCATTCATCTGAAAAGACACTTTTAATAAGCTTTGAAAGGAAGACAAATTCCACAGTATTGTCAGATTTTCTATTTAAAATTACATATATATTAACCCCAACCTTTCATTTTAGCAAAATAAGGGTTAATGGTTTATGGTTTCTTCTACTTTATAATGTTTACAAAGTAAAACTTCTACTCCAGATATGAACTTTTGGCCCAGCATGGTGGCACGTGCCTGTAAACCCAACATTGTGGGAGGCCGAGGAGGCGGATCCCTTGAGCTCACCAGCCTGAGTTTGAGACCAACCTGGGCAACATGGCGATACCCCATCTCTACAAAACATACAAAAATTAGCCAGGCGTGGCCGTAAATGCCTGTAGTCCCAGGTACTCGGGAGGCTAAGGCGGAAGGATCGCTTGAGCCAGGGAGGTGGAGGTTGAGCCTAGATCATGACACTGCACTTTAGCCTGGGTGATAGAGCCAGATCTCATCTCAAAAAAAAAAAAAAAAAAGAAAGAAAGAAAAAAGATATAAACTTGTAAATTTCTTATCTGGAATTAACATAAAGTAAGAAAAATTCTGTGGCATTAAGCTAACAATCCTTCAATAAATACAAATTAAGAACATCTTAGCATCTGAGGAACAACTAGTTATCAACAAAACTCAAATTTAGACCGGATAGTTTCTTTTTTGAGTAATCATATCCCTAAATTCCTTCTGATTTTTTATTTCCATGTCTCAGCATCTCGGGATGAACAACACCAAGACAAAGCCTAATAGGATGTTGAGCACTCATCTTTTAGATACAGATATCACCCTGAGTAGGACTTCATTGGCATAACTGTATTTTAGATGTCAACTTTAAGTAAGACTTTTTAAGAAATTATCTATACAAAATAATAGAGGACGTAACAAAATTTCAAAGGAAATCAAACACTGAGTTCTTATAATTACATGATGAGAAAGGTTAAAAAATGAATGGTTCCAGCCTGAGTTCAAGACCAACCTGGGCAACAGGGTGAAACCTCATCTCTACAAAAAATACAAGAATTAGCTGGGTGTGGTGGCACACACCTATAATCCCAGCCTATAATTGGGAGGTTAAGGGACGAGAATCACTTGAACTTGGTAGGTGGAGGTTGCAGTGAGTCAAAAGCGTGCCATTTCACTCCAGCCTGGGCAACAGAGCAAGACTCTGTCTCAAAACAAAAACAAAAACAAAAACAATGGTTTCATTTGAACATAAAATGAACTACAATTAGGATTTCAAATGGACAACATTACTCATGAAATCAAGAAATCATACTTTCATAAACCTTAAAGCCTATCATAAAATTGGCAGCAATTAATAGCTTTTCTTAGTCTTTATCTATAATCAAAGAACCAATTATTTTCTCCCTTTTGTGCGAAGCCAAATGGTCACTGCAGTTGATTTCAGGTTGAGCAGTTTTTAGAAAATCACTCAAACATATACTTTTGGAGAATTATAGGAATATGAAAGCAACATTTTAAATTATTGCACCTTTTACCGTGAGAGAGTTGTAAGACACTAAAAGGTATTTTTCTTTTTAACCCATAAGAGAATAATAATGTGCAGGAAAAGATGAGATATTTTTGTTATGTAGGCAAACAATTTGGGCTTCAGATTGGAATCCTTTTGAATTTATGTTACTTTCCCTCTAAAGAGAAGCCAAGAAGAATAAAATCCTCTGAAGCTAATAAACCATCCCAGGTGCTTTCAAATGATCCTTTTTTTGTGTAGGAACTTCTAAGCAATCACACTGTTGGCATCATGAAGTTCTTTTGGGTGGCTGGATGTCTTTTCTTCACTCCTCTTCTTCTTCTGATAGATCCAGTAAAGTTAGCTAGAGAGATCTATATCTGAGAGGCAAAGGAAAAAGAAATACATCAAAGAAATACTATCCAGCACACCAATAAACACATGCTTCATTTTTTTTTTAATAATGAGTTATGGAAGTTTACCAGTGTTTTTCAGTGCTGAAAGCATCTTTATATATTCTTACTTTTCAACAGAAATGCAGCACCTGTGTGTCTTTAAAAGGTTGAATTTAAATTTTTATTTTATCTTATTAATTTTTTGAGACAGTCTCACTCTGTTGCCCAGGCTGGAGTGCAGTGGTATAGTCTCGGCTCACTGCAACCTCTGCCTCTCAAGTTCAAGTGATTCTCATGCCTCAGCCTCTTGAGTAACTGGGATTACAGGTGTGCACCACTGGTGTCAATGTTTCCCTAGGTAGGTTCTTTTTGGCCCCCTCCCGAAGACGTGAAGGCTGCTTCTTGCTTCATTTCTGGAAGTTTCCACCTCCTTCATATTTCACTTTCACTTCACATCTCACAGTCATAGTGGGGTGCTAACTATGACTAATTTAGCAATACAAATATGCAGATGCCTCTTCTGGAATCATCTCTCTCAACTCAGATTGCCTAAATTTGAACATAAAAATGAAATGGGGCCAGGCATGATGGCTCATACCTACTGGTGAGGCTGAGGTGAGAGAAAGGCTTCAGCACAGAAGTTTAAAACCAGCCTGGAAAACATAGCAAGAGCTCATCTAGAAAAAATATATATGTGTGGCTGGGCGTGGTGGCTCACGCCTATAATCCTAGCACTTTGGGAAGCCGAGGCAGGTGGATTGCTTAAGCCCAGGAGTCTGAGACCAGCCTGGCCAACATGGTGAAACCCAGTCTCTACCAAAAACACAAAATTTAGCCGGGCATGGTGGTGCATACTTATATTCCCAGCTACTCAGGAGGCTGAGGCACGAGAATTGCTTGAAGCTGGAAGAAAGAGGTGGCAGTGACCCCAGATTATGCCACTGTACTCCAGCCTGGGCAAGAGAGCCTGTCTCAAAAAAAAAAAAAAAAAAAAAAAAAAGAAAGAAAGAAAGAAAAAAGAAAATAATATATATATGTGTGTGTGTTTTGTAAAAAACAGATGAAAATGAGATGGATTTTTTTTGCTTATCAAACTTACAATATATACATATTTGTTACCCAGGTTGAAGCACAGTGGCACGATCTTGGCTCTCCACAACCTTCACTTTCTGGGTTCAAGTGATTCTCCTGCCTCAGCCTCTTGAGTAGCTGGGATTACAGGCGTGCGCCAAGACACCTGGCTAATTTTTTTGTATTTGTAGTAGAGACAAATACTCTACCATGTTGGCCAGGCTAGTCTTGAACTCCTGATCTCAAGTGATCCGTCTGCCTCGGCCTCCCAAAGTCCTGAGATTATAGGTGTGAGCCACCTCTCCCAGCTGAAAAATTGTTAAATAAATTAAAATGTTATACTGCACAATATTCTTAATTTTTCTTTCCTTTTTTTTTTTTTTTTTTGTGACCAAACAACAAACCCAAGAAAATACTCATTTAATGCAGAGGAAGCAGTAGAGGAGGAAGAGAGTAACAAAAAAAGACATGAGACGTATAGAAAAGAAAAAGTAAAATTGCATAAGTAAGTTCGACCATATACATAATAAAATTAAACATGAACTTACTAAATAATCCATTCAAAAGGCAGATGGTGTCAGACTGGGTAAAAAAACAAACAAAAAACATGATCTAACCATATGTTCTTTGCAAAGGCATATTTCTGATTCAAAGCCAAAAATAGATTGAAAGTCAAAGGATGGAAAAAGAGATATCATGCAAGCAGCAAGTGTAAGAGAGAGCTGAAGTGAATATACTAATATAATGTCATATTTTAAAAATTAGACAAACCAATTTATCAGCCGGGGCGGTGGGGGATCATAAGGTCGGGTCTAGACGCTGGCAACCGGTGAACCCCATCTCTAAAAATACAAAATCCCGGGCCTGTACCCTCAGGAGGCTGAGGCAGGAGAATCGGTTGAACCTGGGAGGCGGAGGTTGCAGTGAGCCAAGATCGTGCCACTGCACTCCAGCCTGGGCGACAGAGCAAGAATCCGCCTCAAAAAAAAAAAAAAAAGAAAAAAAAAAGACAAAAATTGTTACTAGAGACAAAGAAGGACATTTATAATGCTAAAAGGGTCAATTGAGGAAGATAGAACAGTTAAGAAGATAAATATACTTAAAAACAGAGCCCTAAAATACATGAAGCGAAATCTGGCAGAATTGAAAGGAGAAATAGATGATTCAACAATGGAATCAAATTAGAAATCAATAACAAAAGAAATCTGAGAAATTCTCAAATATATGGAAATTAACAACAGACTCCTAAACAACCAGTAACTCAAAGAAGACTCACAAGTGAAATAAGAGACTATTTTGAGATGAATGACAATGAATACTTAGGGAATACAGCTAAGGTAGCACTTGGAGAGAAATTTATACCTATAAACATCTATAGTAAAAGAGAAGAAAGATCCCAATTGAATACCTAACATTTCACTTAAGACCCTAAAAATGGAAGAGCAAACAAAACCTAAATCAGGCAGAAGCAAGGAAATAATGATGATTATGGCAGAAACGAATGAACTGGAGAATGGAAAAACCATAGCAAAAATCAACAAAATGAAAGTTGTTTCTTTGGAAATAGCAACCAAATTGATGAACCTTATTTAGACTGACCAAGAAAAAAAAAGACTCAAAATACTACTCTGAAATGAAAGAGAGAACATCACTACTAACCTTACAGGAACAAAAAATAACTATAAGAAAATAATATAAACAACTGTGTGACAACAAATTTGATAACTTAGATAAGATAGACAAATTCCTAGAAAGAGACAAATTCCTAGAAAGACACAAATTACCAAAACTGACTCAAAAAGAAATAAAAATCTGAAATAGATCTATAACAAGAAAAAAGATCGAATTAGCAATTAAGAAACTTTCCAAAAAGAACCACATGGCTTCACTGGTGAATCCTATAAATCAATTAAAGAATAATTAGTATCATTTTTTCCCAAACTCTTCCAAAATTCAGAAGAGGAGAAAACACTTCCCAAGTCATTTTATGGTTACCCTGATACCAAAATTGGAAAAAGACATCATAAGAAAAGTACAGAACAATATCTCTTATGAATGTAGCTGTAAAAATTCTCAACAAAATACTAACAATCTAAATTCAGCAACATATGAAGAACGTTGTGATTTAGTGGGATTTACCTCAGAAGTACAAAGTTAATTTAACATCCAAAAATCATTTAATGTGATGCATAATATTAATAGAATAAGAGACAAAACATATAACACATGATAATATATATACATATATATGTGTGTGTGAATATATATTTGGTTTTCTGTATTTTTTTTTCTTTTTTTTCTTTTGAGACAGGGTCACACTCCATTGCTCAGGCTAGAATGCAGTGGTTTGATCACAGCTCACTCAGTCTCAACTTTCTGGACCTGGGATCAGGCAATTCTTTCACTTCAGCTTCCTGAGTAGTTGGGACTGTAGGTGCATACCACCACACCTTCTTGGCTAATTCTTTGCATTTTTTGCAGAGATGGGGTTTTGCTGTGTTGCCCAGGCTGGCCTCAAACTCCCTGGCTCAAGCAATCTGCCCCCCTCAGCCTCCCAAAGTGTTGGGATTACAGGCGTGAGCCACCACACCTGGTCACACATGATAATTTAGATACAGAAAAAGAAGTTGACCAAAACAAACATCCTCCCTTCATAATAACAACATTCAGCAATCTTGCAATAGAAAAAAATTTCTCAATCCAATAAAGGTCATCTACAAAGACCCATAGCTAACGTAATACTTAATGGATGAAAGACTAAATCTGGGACCAAGAATAAGACAAACATGTTTGCTTGAACTACTTTGGAGGTTCTCATCAGGGCACTTAGGCAAGAAAAGAAAAAAGACACCCAAATTAGAAAGGAAGAAGAAACTACCTCAATTTGCAGGTGATCTTGTACGTGAGCTTGTACACAGCAAATCCTAAGGAACCTACTGAAAAACCTATGAGAATGAATCAATAATTTTATTAAGATTTCAGGATGTAAGATCAATAAAAAATCAATTGTATTCCTATGCATTAGCAATGGACAATTCAGAAATGAAATTAAGAAAATTCCATTTGCAATAGCATCAAAAGAATAAAATACTTAGGAATAAATTTAACAAAGGAAGTACGAAACTTGTACTCTGAATACTACAAAAGCAATTAAAATAGACCTGAACAAAGAGAAATACATTCCATTTCATGGATCGGAAGACTTAATTTTGTCAAGATGGCAATACTTGCTACATTGATCTATAAATTTAAAACTATCCCTATCCAAATACCAGATGGCTCTTTGCAGAAATTGACAAAGTAGATGTAAATCTTTGTGACCTTCGATTAATTAAAAAAAAAATACATAATAGCTAAAGAACAAGCTACCAAAGAAAACATAGACTAATTTGACGTCAATAAAATTAAAAACTTTCTTGCTCCAAGGACACCACCAAAAAAAGACATCCACAGAATGGAAGAAAATATTTGCCCATCATATTTCAGATAAGGGCTTTGTATTCAGAATATATACATATATGTGTATCTTACAGCTCAACAATATAAAGACAAATAATCCAACTGAAAAATGGGCAAAGGATTTGAATAGCCATTTCCCCAAAGAGACACAAATATCCAATAAGCACGTGAAAAGATACTCAACATTTCGGTCATTATGGAAATGCAAATCAAAACCACAGTAAGATGTCACTTCACACCCTCTAGGATAGCTATAACAACAAGTGTTTGCAAGTATGTGGAGAAATTAGAACCCACATATACTGCTGGTGGGAATGTGAAATGATGCCACTCCCATGAAAAACAGCTTGGCAGTTCCTCAATGAGTTACACATGGAATAACCATATGACCCAACAATTCCTCTCTTTTAATTCCCAGAGAACCGAAAACATATGTTCCAACAAAAACTTATATACTAATGTTCACAGCAGAATGATTCATATTAGCCAAATAGCGGGAATAACCCAAATGTTCATCAATAGTTGACAGGACAAACAAACTGTGATTTTTCCATATTATGGAATTGTATTCAGTCATAAATTGGAGTGGAGTACTGATACATGCTACTACATGGATGGGCCCTGAAAACATTAAGTAAAAAAAGCTAATTACAAAGACCATGTATCATAGGAATTCATTTATATGGAATATCTAGAATAGGGAAATCTGTAGAGACAGAAAGTAGATTAGTGGTTGTTCAGGACTGAACAACTGGGGAGAAACGGGGAGTGCCTGCTAATGGGTATGGGGTTTCTTTATGGGATGATGAAAATGTTCTAAAATTGATCATGGTGATGGTTGCACAACTTAGGAATATAGTAAAAGCCATTAAATTGTACACCTTAAATGGGTGAATTGTCTGGTGTATAAATGATATCTGAAAAAAAATTAAACATACATATCCTCATAATTCCACTTCTAGGAATATTTTGTAAGAAAATAAGTGTACATATGTTCAAATATGTATGCATGCCTGTTCACTGCAACAGTGTTCAAAATAGCATAAATAAATACTACAAAACGTAAATATTGGTCAATAAAGTCAAGATAAATAAATTAAGGCTATCCATACAGTGAAATGCAATCATCCCTCAGTGTCCCTGGGAACTGGTTCTAGGACTTCCCTTGGATACCAAAATCCATGGATGCTGAAGTCCCTTATATAAAATGGTGTAGTATTTGCATATAAATTACATCCAGCCTTCCATATACTTTAAATTGTTTCCAGATTACTTATAATACCTAATACAATATAAATGGTATGGAAATAGTTGTTATACTGTATTGTTTAGGGAATAATGACAAGGAAAAAAGTTTGAACATGTTCAGTACAGATACTACCATTCTGGTTTTTTCCAAATATTTTCAATATGCCATTGGCTGATTTAATGAAAAACCCATGGATATGGAGGGCTGACTGGACTACAGTGTCATTCAAAATGACATTCTTAATACCTAGGTGACGGGTTGATAGGTGCAGCAAACCACCATGGCACACGTTTATCTATGTAACAAACCTGTGCGTTCTACACATGTATTCTGAAACTTAAAGTAAAATAAAAATAACTTACTGTTTTCATATGTACAAATAAATACATCTATGTAAAAGCCAAATCAGTAAATGGATTTCATATGTTTAAATAATGTGTATATATGTCATATTTATACACATATAAAAGTAAATTAGATTTAATGTCATTTAGATGCTAAGTAAAAGACGAAGCTGTAAATGGTTTTCAAATGTGTTTAAATAATGTGTATATATGTCATATTTATGCACATAATTTTTGTATATATAAAAATGTTGCTATTAGAAAAAAATGTGAAGACAACTAGTATAAAATTGAACTAAACTCCAGCACAATTTTGACATAAATGAAATGTGATACCTAAAGAACTCCAAGCCCCCACATACCCCCCACCCTCACCCCCACTCCCACCCCACCCTCACCAAGGTTACTTTGGCCAGTGTAATAAAAGAAGTTATTGGGAGGCTGAGGCAGGAGAATCGCTTGAACCTGGGAAGCAGAGGTTGCAGTGAGCCGAGATTACGCCATTGCACTCCAGCCTGGGCAACAAGAGGGAAACTCCGTCTTGAAAAAAAAAAGTTATATATGGTACACACACACCCACACATACATACACACTCAAGCGAAGTGACATTTAATCAAAATTTTCACTGAGTAGGAAAAAGGTGAAGAGTAGGAAAAAAGCATGTCTAGGCAGAAGAAAACAATGTGTAAAAGCCCTGAAGTGCTAAGGAACATGACATATTTGACAAACTCACAGAGAAGCGCCTTTGTGGTTGACATTCAGAGTTTTATTTCAATTGTAAGAGTAATGAGAAATCACTAAAGGACCTTAAGCAGTATAGAAGCCATAATACAAAGAATGGATAGAAGAGAAGCAAAAGTGGAGGTGTGAAGGTTGCTGCAAGGTAAACAGTAGTTGAGCTTGTGTGACGTGAACTGGTGACAAATTGGGAACTGGGAGACTGAATGCGTACAAGTGTACAATGGCCAGATCCTATATTAATGCTTTGACCCACAGACTGCAGCAATCAGCCCAGGAAGCCGAATCACAACCTCTGCAGCAGCTGATCCCAGATGGTCAAGATTTGGTCAAGAACTACTAGTGTCCTTTCTATCCCTTCTCCCCTGATTCTAACTTAGGACTAACTGAAGAAACCACATATACTCCCCAAATTAAATAGGTTATCCTGCTTCTAGATAGCCTGCCTTCAGCTTTCCCAGGCCAACCATCTCCAGTCACATCACACCTAAAGCCTTCCCTGTTTCTCACAATGAAGCTTTCCAGATTCTCTGCCTGTCTTGGTCCCCTGCCAAACTCAAGTGATGCTGGCTGACTCCCTTGCTATGTAAACTCTGAATAAATAGCCCTGGCTTGATCTCATTTGAGTGGTTGTCTTCTATTTTTCTTTTTTCCCTCAGGAGTATGATAATTAAGTGTAAAGCAGTAATTGGGGCTAAAGGAATGGATGAAACAGAGCAGGAGAGAGAAGAGATACATTTTATTACACCTTGAAGGGTACAACAACCTGCTTAGGGGCAGAGGGTCAGCTGAGGATTTAGTGGAAATAAGTATGGTGCCCTGGAATTGAAGGGAAGGGACTTTTGCAGGCCAAGTAGCCAGCTGCTAAATTCTGCTGTGAAATCAGGAAGAAGACTAAAATTTGTCAATTAATTTAGAAAGATCAGACTGGGCGCAGTGGCTCAAACCTGTAATCCCAGTACTTTGGGAGGCCGAGGCAGATGGATCACCTGAGGTCAGGAGTTCAAGACCAGCCTGGCCAACATGGTGAAACGCTGTCTCTACTAAAAATACAAAAACTAGCTGGGTGTGGTGGCGCATGCCTGTGATCCCAGCTACTCAGGAGGCTGAGGCAGGAGAATCACTTGAACCCAGGAGGCAGAGGTTGTGGTGAGCTGAGATAGAATCATTGCAATCCAGCCTGGGCGACAAGAGCGAAACTCCATCTCAAAAAAAAAAAAAAATTAGTAAGATAAGGATAATTCTAAAGGAGATGTAAGACAGATTAAAGTGGATTTAGATGTGAATGCAAAATAATGAACTGGGGACAATGAGTACAGAAAAATCATGAGTATTGACAGAGGGGTGTGTGGATGTGTATATGTGTGTCTTGTTTGTTTTAATATATAGGCTTATCACCATTTAAACTTTCAATTTGACATGATGATCCAGAGAAGTAAAGGTGTAAGTGGCAGCTTGAAATTCCTAAGAAATCTTAGGGAGAGAATGGGACCCACAGCACATATGAAGGACTGGCCATGCCTTCCGTGATACCAAGAAGGAAGAGGAAGATGGGGGTGGGTAAGGGGGGGAATGGATTAGATGGGATTTATGCTAAAAAGAAATTTTAGATTCCTGAACAACATGGTAGAGAGCAGCTAGTTTAGCTAACTATGGAAAGAATTGTTACACATTTTGTAAGGAGAAATCAGTTTTTGAAATGAAGAAAACTGGCCGGGCGTGGTGGCTCATGCCTTTAATCCCAGCATTTTAGGAGGCCGAGGTGGGCAGATCACCTGAGGTCAAGAGTTCGAGACCCGCCTGGCCAACATGGTGAAACCCCATCTCTACTAAAAATACAAAAAAATTAGACGGGCGTGGTGGTATGCACCTGTAATCCCAGCTACTTGGTAGGCTGAGCCAGAATTGCTTGAAACTGGGAGGCAGAGGTCGCAGTGAGCCGAGATCGTGCCACTGTACTACACTCCAGCCTAGGCAACAAGAGTGAAACTCTGTCTCAAAAGAAAAGAAAAGAAAAGAAAACTTTGAAACTCTAGAACATTGTATACATACTTTGTTCAGACGAATATACAATTATCTTAATAAATGTTTATAATATAAACATCACTATATTTATGTATTTGATATATAAATGTATAAGTAAATATATTTATCATTAAGGCACCATAATCTTTTTTTTTTTTTAAGGCGGAGTCTCACTCTGTCTCTCAGGCTGGAGTGCAGTGGTGTGATCACAGCTCACTGCAGCCTCAACCCCTCGGCTCAAGCAATCCTCCCACCTCAGCCTCCTGAGTAGCTGGAACTACAGATATGCACCACCATGCCAGCTAATGTATTTTTTGTAGAGACAGTGTCTTGCAATGTTGCTCAGGCTGTTCTCAAACTCCTGGTCTTAAAAGATCCTCCCACCTCAGACTCGCAAAGTGCTGGGTTTACAAGTGTGAGCCACTGTGGCCGGCTGGCATCATAATCTTTACAGAAAAGTTTTATCTCATCAGTAAATTAGGGACATTAGGGATTTCCTCCAAGCATGACCTTTGGACACTGGGCTGTGATTAATTTAGAAAAGAGTAATTTTCTCTATTTCATTTAGCTTTATGCAATACGTCCTGCAGATATTTCAGCCCTCACAGGAATGTCCCATATTTAAGGCAGTTCTTGGGCCATTCATATTAAGCAAAGGTTTGTACCTTAAGCTTTAGGGGCTACATCTTGTCTTCAAGGAGCTCATATTTCAATACTGACAAAAATCTAAAGAAACAAAGTTGAATGTGATAAATAGCTTTAAAAGCCTACTGCTAAAAGTGCTGTGACTGTTAGGAGGATTGAAGATTATTTTAAACTAACTGAATTCAAGTGGGCCTCATGAGGAAAATGGGATTTATGAGAAATCTCAAGGAGGCAGAGAGTTTGGACTTGATGAGAGAAGGAATTCCTAGAAGAGGAAATATCTCCACCACAGAGATAGAAAATCATAGTTCCATCCTAGAAATATTAGAAAATAAATCTGAAAATGTGTGTATGTGTCTAGTGAGAACAAGTATTAAATTTATTATATTAAATTAAAAGATAATAAGTAAAAGCTTCATTTCATTTCATCTTTCTTTTTTGTTTTTCTTTTTTTTTGAGACATGGTCTCGCTCTGTCACCCAGGCTGGAGTGCAATGGCGTGATCTTGGCTCACTGCAACCTTCGCCTCCTGGGTTCAAGTGATTCTCCTGCCTCAGCTTCCTGAGCAGCTGGGATTACAGGTGCCTGCCACAACATCTGGCTAATTTTTGTATTTTCAGTAGAGATGGCATTTCACCGTGTTGGTCAGGCTGGTCTCGAACTCCCAACCTCAAGCCATCTGCCCGCCTTGACCTCCCAAAGTGCTGGGATTATAGGCGTGAGCCACCACTCCCAGCCTATTTTACTTCTTTTAGCAACATTATGAGGCTGGGCATGATGGATCACGCCTGTAACCCTAGCACTTTGGGAGGCCGAGGCAGGCATATCACTTGAAGTCAGGAGTTCGAGACCAGTCTGGCCAACATGGTGAAAACCTGTCTCTACTAAAACTACACAAATTAGTTAGGTGTGGTGGCACAAACCTGTAATGCCAGCTACTTGGGAGGCTGAGGCAGGAGAATTGCTTGAGCCCAAAAGGCGGAGGCTGCAGTGAGCTGAGATTGCGCCACTGCCCTCTAGCCTGGGCGACAGAGCAAGACTCCATCTCAAAAACAAAACAAAACAAAGCAAACAAACAAACAAACAAAAACACTTATGAAGTACCTGCTGTATTGCAGGCACTTTTTTTGGCGGAAGATACAAAGATAAGTAAAACCTACCCTCGGGCTTCAGGGAATTGACAGCATGCAGAGGGAAGAGGGGAGGACTGCAGTCTGTTAACATTTTCTAATGACAGGCGTTAAGGATTTTAACAGAAGTATGTAAATAGTGCTCTGAGAGCAAAAGTGGGCATATCTCTTGTAATTAGTAGGGGTATTAAAATCAGAGAAGGTTTCCTAAAGGATGAATGATACTGAGAGCAAAAGTGAAAAAATTTTCCTTTTAGGTAAAAGCATAGCTTGAAGAACAGCTAAGAGGTGAAGAATGGACCGATTTTAAAGTAATAGTAAGTCTAACTACTATTTATTTAGCACTTACTATGCGCCAAGTATTGTTATCATAGGGTAAGGGCCATAACACGTTGCATCTTATAGATCTGGAAGTGGAGGGAAGCTCAGAGAGAATAAATGACTTACCAACAATGATCACAGAGAGTGAGCTATGTGGCCAGAGCTTGAATCCAGTTGGTCCAAAAGCAGTCTTAACTCTTATGCCCTCTGGGGCAGGCAAGGGGGAAAGAATCAGGAAACAGATGAAACTGGAAAGGCATATGTTGTAAGGTGTTTGTCAAATTATTGTTATTATTTTGTGTTCCATTTGACCTACAGCGGGATAACTGAGATCAGGACTGAAACACATTCACTGGATTCAGAAGGAGGAAGTCATAATGAACCTTCCCCAGAAAGAAAAAGGGGAGAATGTGTTGAAAATAGTTGGGAGGAAAGAAAACAGCTGTCTTTTCCAAAAATGTGGCTTTGAAGAGATGAAGAGAACATGGGTTGGTCACTTGAGAGCACTATGGAGTCAATGGTGGAACTCTTTTCTTTCTTTCCTTCTCTTCCTCCCTCTTTTTCTTTCTTCTCTCCCTCTCTGTTTCTTTCTTCTCTCCTTCTTTCTTTCTCTTCCCCTTCCTTCCTCCCTCCCTCCCTTTCTCTCTCTCTTTCTCTTTCTTTTCTTTTCTCTTTCTCTCTTTCTTTCCCTGTTTCTCTTTCCTTTTTTCTTCCCTTCTCTTTCTTCTCTCCTTCTCTCTTTGTTTCTTCTTCTCTCCTTTCTTTTCTCCTTTCTTTCTTTCTCTCTTTCTTTCCCTGTTTCTCTCTTTCTTTCCTTTTTTCTTCCCTTCTCTCTCTTCTCTTCCTCTCTTTCTGTCTTCTTTCTTTCTTTGTTTCATTTCTTCTCTTTCTCTTTCTGTCTTTGTCTCTTTCATCTGTCTTTTTTTTTTTTTTTAAAGATAAAATAGATCAGTGTTGACATATTGAACATTCTGGGGGAGCAAGGGAGTATAATTGCTAGATCAAGGTACTTGAGGTTAGGGAGATTACCCATATCCAAGAGAGGTATCTTTTATTGAAAGACTAGGGTCCACATACAGTGGCTCATGCCTATAATCCCAGCACTTTGGGAGGCCAAGGTCGGAGGATTGCTTGAACCCAGAAGGTCAAGACCAGACTGGCAACAAAGTTAGACCCTGTCTCTACAAAAAATCTTAAAATTAGCCAAGCATGGTGTCATACACCTGTACTTTCACATACTTGGAAGGCTGAGGCAGGAGGATAAACTGAGCCCAAGACTTTGAGGCTACAATGAACTATGATCACACCACGGCACCCAGCCTGGGTGACAGAATGAGATCCTGTCTCAAAAAAAAAAAAAAAAAAAAAAAAGACTAGGAAGGGAACACAAAAGAAGCATTGTGGATGTAGATGTCTGTAGCTTCAGGGTAAGGTTGGATTTCCAGGCTTAATGACCTCCTATTTCACCATGAAGAGGAGTTATCTTTTGCTGTGAGTTGAAACAGGAGATTAAGAAGTGTAAAGAAACTAGAGGTTATTAGTTTGAAATAATAGTTGAATAGGAATATGAAGTGCGGAAGAGTTCTTCCCAGAAAACTCAGCTAAAGTTGGAGATGAAGTGCTCCACGAAGGTAGAGATTCTATGCTGAAAGCAGAGTTGGGTTTCAGTTAAACTCAAGAGGTGGAGAAAATGGAGTGAGAAGGATGAAGATGCTAGGATAATTGCAGGAAGAGTTGGGAAGCAGGGCAGGTTTGGTTAAGGGGTTCAGATGCCCATGACTGAAAGGGGGTAAGAATAAGGCAGAAAATAGGAAACTAGAAGTAAAGTTTGAATAGCAAGTGAGGGTGACAAGAGAGTGTTAGCTGGACTTAATTAAAAATAATGTATTAAAAGATACTTTTTCCAAAAATCTTTTCATAGTCATTACCTCTGGAACATGAAAATGGGCAATAGGGTAGGATGGGGAACTTGTACTTTTGACTTTACATTCTATGCTGTTAGAAATATATTCTACACCATGAACATGTGTTACAATTGTTATTAAAAAGCTAGCTAGACCGGGCGCGGTGGCTCACGCCTGTAATCCCAGCACTTTGGGAGACCGAGACGGGCAGATCACCTGAGGTCAGGAGTTCGAGACCAATTTGACCAACATGGAGAAACTCTATCTCTACTAAAAATACAAAATTAGCCGGGTATGGTGGTGCATGCCTGTAATCCCAGCTACTCGGGAGGCTGAGGCAGGAGAATCATTTGAACCCGGAAGGTGGAGGCTGTGGTGAGCCGAGATGGCACTATCGCACTCCAGCCTGGGCAACGAGAATGAAAACTCCGTCTCAAAAAATAAAAATTAAAAAAAAAAAAAGTGAGTAGAGTATATATTGATGGGGTATGTAGTTATCTAGAGTACATATTAATTAAGTAATTTTTTTAGAGATAGGGTCTAGACTGGAGTGCACAATCATAGCTCACTGCAGCCTCAAACTCCTGGGCTCAAATGATCCTCCCTGGAGGCCTCAGCTCCCCAAACAGCTAGGACTAGAGGGACACGCCACCATGCCGTGCTAATTTTTTTTTTTTTTTTGGTAGAGACAAGATTTAATCATGTTGTCCAGACTGGTCTTGAACTTCTGCACTCAAGCAATCCACCTATCTCCGCCTCCCAAAGTGCTAAGATTATAGGCATGAGCCACTGGACCTGGCCTTAGAGTACATACTTATAGATAAAAGCATTGATGTGGTGAGATTTTACTATTGGAAGGGAGAAGTCATTCCAGTCTTAAGTCGCGACCTCATTTTCCACTCTAGGGCCCTCACATTAACCTGTAGACTTGCATTTCCTGACACCCCTTCTCTTGCTCTCCTTCACTCTAAATCACTTAGGACTGAAGGTGATGCCAAAATGTTTTTAAGAAAAAAATCAAGGAAATGAACTGCATACAGCATGGATTTTTCTGCGTAATTAATTCAGTTGCGTAGGCTGGGATCATTGAGGATGACCCTAGGAGGTGGAAAAATTGACTGAGTAAAGATAATATGACATTCCTATTAAATGAGCTAAAGGTCTGAACACTCTAATAAAGGGTTCATCTGGAAAACTTTCAAAGTCAATTGTTTACCTTACCTATCCTTTTACGAAGTCTTACTTGATCCTAACTGATCAAATAACCACATGTGATTTTATCTAAAGCATCCAAAAAATTAGAGGGGGAGAAATGAAATGGGTGTTTTGCCTTAGAGTCCACTACCTAGGTTTACAGTACATTGACCCAGTTACCAAAGTGCCTTTGTTGCAAAACATATAAAAAATGGGAAAGTATTTAGGACAGTGAGAATTATGTTATCAGATCTGAAGGTAGCACTTGTTATTATAGTGCTGGTTGAGCAAGGTCTTGAAAAATCATCTAATGTTTATCTTACATTAACTCTTACAGTAGATTCCAACAGGTGACTTTTAAGCATTCTTCAAAGAACTGTAGCTGGAATGTAGAACTAGTCTAAAACTGAGAAAATGGATGCTGTAACCCAAGCAGTTTTATAAGTTATCAGTCAACTTTTGTAAAGGGTTGCTATTATTAAGTAGTTTGCAAAGCTTTAATTACATTTCCTTTTGGTTTACAAACTTGATTTATAAGTCAAAATTTCCCTCAACTTTAAAAATTCAAATTTCACTACTCATGCTTACTTGTAACACTGGTTTTTATGGTATGTGATTTGAGGATAATCTGTGGTTATCTAAAGACTTGTGTTTATATTTTGAAAGGTGTCTTTCTTTGTATATGCAGGAATTCTCTTGCTATTGTGAAATGTGTCCTCTCCTCTTTGTTATTTATGAAGGAGTGCTGGAAAAATCTGGGGTGTCTCTATTCCTCTTAAGCACAGATTTTTACCATTGTTTTATACATGACACTGAAATGCCCTGCTGGAAACATTATCAACACACACCAAAGGATATTTTAACACAGAAAATCTTTTTAAAGCATGTTTCAATCACCATTAATTGGCTTCTCAGTAAACCTCCTACTGTATCTTCCTGGATTCCTCCACCAAAGCTATTTGTTGTATTTTGATAACAAAGATTAATTTGTTACAGATATAGGCATAGAGAACTTGACATTTTTTGTCTCAGTCCTTTTGATAAATGTTTCTTACTAAATTGCTCCTCCTTCATTTAATTTTCTACTACAGGGCTTTCCCTGGCTTTGAAAAGCATGCATTAAACAATAGACATAGCAACTGTTCTTTCCACTGAATGAATGGAACCATAAAAGCTACTCTACAGGCCAACTGAATAAGCTAATTTAGCCATTGCCTGTGTATGTTAACCAGATGAGGGATATTTCTGTGACATTTTTTAAGGAAGATATATCTTTAATGAATTAATGAGCTTGAAATACTTACAATGGAATGCCAAACTGTGTATTTTTTAGTATGAAGTAACTTAAACTTGGACAGTGTTTGAAGTTAGCTGATTCAAGCAGTATTACCGGTAATCGTGGTGGTGTAAAAGTATTTAGCAAGTGTAAAAACAAGAGAAGGGAGGTGCAAAACTCTACCAGAATTTATCCTTAAGATGTGACTATCAAGGTCACTACTATTGGTGAGACTGGAAAGCTGCCATTTCATTAGTGTTAAGTTTACTTTATCTATTAAAGGAAATATTTTCGGAAAAAAATAAACCCTGAGGGCTGGGTGTGGTGGCTCACATCTGAAATCCCAGCACTTTGGAAGGCCAAGGCAGGTGGATCACTTGAGGCTAGGAGTTCGAGACCAGCCTGCGCAACATGGGGAACCCTCATCTCTACAAAAAATACAAAAATTACCCAAGAGTGGTGGCACACGCCTGTAGTCCCAGCTACTTGGGGGGCTGAGGTGGGAGGATCACTTGAGCCCGGGAGGTTGGGTCTGCAACGAGCTGAGATCACATCATTGCACTCCAGCCTGGGTGACAGAGCAAGACCCTGGGGGAGAGGGGAGAGTGGAGAGGAGACAGGAGTTGAGGGAGGGGGAGGAGAGGAGGAGAGGAGGAGAGGAGAAGAGGAAAAGAAAACCCTGAAGTATTGATGGTAGTTCATTGATGGTATGATGTTGGGTGAACACGTCCAAATGCTTTCATACACACTGGGCTTAATAGGGGAATCGGCTTATTCTGCATAACATCCACAATAATATTAGCCCCCATATAGCTGTTACTCAGATTCAACAGTTATCAAGATTTTCCTACATTGTCCTCGTCTGTCTAATTTTCTTCCTTAGCTATTAAAGTAATTCTCAAAAGTCATGTCATTCATTTCACTCTTTCATTTATTGGTATGCATCTCTAAAGTCTTGACATCGCCATAAGCCATTATCACATGTTACAAACTGTGAAGAAACATTCTCTGGTATATCTAATTTGGAACATCGCCTAAGTGTAGCAAAACTATTTTTGGTCAGAAATACCTCAGGGGAAGGGTACTCGTGAATGGAGAGGTATACATCTCCTCTGAAGGCAATTGTGTTTGCGCAATTTTCTTCTCATGGTCAAATTAACTGAAGGAAAAAGAGAGAAACATTAAGAGCATTTTTCAGAGGCTTAATTGTTGTTTAATCTAGACAATTCAAACATATTTTGGAGCCAAACTAGACTGTGGTTATTTGCAATTTGTTCAAATGTGATTATAAAATCAAAAACCAATGTGATGCATATACAAAAGGGGTGTTCCTAACAGTTAATGTTAATAGCAAGATCTTCTTTTACTCTTATTTATTTTTCTATTAACATCGTTAAGCAATATAGCAACATCTTAATAGTATTATCCTCCTCCTTTTACATGATTTTTTCCTAAATACTCCTAGATCTTTTTTTATGTAGTAAATTAATCACAAATATTTTGTAAGAACATTGCCCAAGCTACTCTGTATTTCCGAAAAGTATAAATGGTTTGAATACTGACTGCCATAAACAATGAGAAGGGATCAAGCTGCTTTCTCAGAGTTGCTGACTTGGAACTTTTTCTTATTTATGTAAAAGAACAGATCGGGGACATCATTTGAAATAAACTCACAGTGATCAAACTTCTAATTCACTAAAAAGCAAAGTCTGAATTTTTAACAAGTAATGCATCACTTTCTTTTCTAACTGAAGAAGTATATTATCAAGTGAATAATCTAACATATTTGGATGTAAATATTACCATCTTTTTATTTAAAGTTGGGTTTGTGGTTTTCCTGAGTCAGAAAACTTTAACTTTCTAATTTTTTTTTCCTGTTCTTTTCTTCCTTTTTTCCTTCCCTCTTTTCTCTCTCTCTTTCTTTCTTTCTTTTTAACTTACCAGTTCTTTGAAATCTTAGCTATTTCAAAGAAAGGTTTTGAAGTAAATGTACATTAGAATACTTTTGTGTACTAAATTTCTGTTAGTTAAGTACAATACAGTTGATATCATCTTTGAAAATGTGTCAAGTAAATTAATATTATGTATCTTTACCATACATATTTTTGATGCTTTTTAGCTCTATAAGCATAATAATAATAAAAACTGCACTTGTTTTAAGTGACATTCCTAGTTACATAATTAGAAATAACAGCTATTGAAATTTTAAAATTTCATCTGCATTTTGTTGCATTATGCTTTTTGTATGTTAATTCAGTCCCTACTCCGGGCAGCAACATACTTTTTAAATAAACTGCTTTGGAGTTTGCATTTTACCTAAAAAATCTATAGATTTATTTACCTTTATAATGAATAGACGAACATTTCTGTTTCATTTTACTTGTAAAGACAACATCATCTGCAATAGCTTAGAGATCTATTTTCTTTGCATTTAGAAAAAATAGTGGTAAAATACTTATCATTTCGAAGTTTGGCTGTTAATATTGAAATAATACACCAGGCCGGGCGCGGTGGCTCACGCCTGTAATCCCAGCACTTTGGGAGGCCGAGGCGGGCGGATCACAAGGTCAGGAGATCGAGACCACGGTGAAACCCCGTCTCTACTAAAAATACAAAAAATTAGCCGGGCGCGGTTGTGGGCGCCTGTAGTCCCAGCTACTCGGGAGGCTGAGGCAGGAGAATGGCGTGAACCCGGGAGGCGGAGCTTGCAGGGAGCCGAGATCGCGCCACTGCACTCCAGCCTGGGCGACAGAGCGAGACTCCGTCTCAAAAAAAAAAAAAAAAAAAAAAAAAAAGAAATAATACACCCAACAGGATAGACAGCATACTTTCAAAATCCTACACATTTATCCCCAATACTACTAACTGCAAGCACAAAGTGGTTTTCAGATAAACACAATCACGCTCAGAGACCCAGGGATGCAAAGAGGCAAAACAAGTTACTTGTACAAATACATCAAAGACCTACCTGGTCTGTGTCCGCTGATAAGGAGAAGACTCATAATAAAAATACAAAATGCAAAAAGGAATTGCTGAAATTTCATTTTCCTACCGCACAGAAGTGGAGCAATGACTCTCAATGTAAACCGAACGATCTGTAAGTAGTCTGTGCAATATCCGTGTGGCTGTCTTCACATTCTAATGCCAAACCTCAGAGAACTGCCAGCTGTGTTTTGCAGGAAGGTTAATGATCACATCAGACAAGGTTGCCGGTGCTCGGTGCTATGGTCAGAGCCTCCCTCAGCCTCAAACCCCTCCTCCATTCCTCTTCTCCTTTCCCCTCGGCCACTCCCCTTTATTTCCATAAGCAAATATCGGTGAAATAAACCATTCAAGCATGCTCTAACTTTAGTGGTAGTGTACTCTGAAAGCTCCAAGAAGAGAATGACTTAAATCCAATCTGGATATGAAGAAATACGTAAAACAAGACGTGACACTGCCTCCTCCCCTTACCATTTACATCTGTTTAAACTTTACCCATATTGGTCCCACGTGCAGAAACCAGTGGAAATGACAGGAAGCCTCTCTTTTGTCTTCTTCGGAAGGAATTCTGAAGCTCTAACATAAGAGTCCCAAACGCTTTGTGGCAGAACATGCGCTGAAATGCTTTATCTTTACCAAACTGACTACAAAGTGGTGCCTGTTTACACTAACTCTCCAAATTGCCTCATTCATGTGGGTTTGTATCAGTAAAGATTTTGGGAATTTAGAATGTTTTGAAATAAATCTGCAAAACACTTACATTTATATGAATATTTTGTAAAGTGCAATTTTAAAAGTAACAGAGATTATTTTCATCTGCAAATGTCCGGATTTTAAAAAAGGAAGTTAAGGCAAGCCACAAACTCATGAAATCTGTGTTTGGTTAAAAATTTATATGTGGTGGAATACCAGGCTAACATACCACAGTCACAGAAATTGGAGATGGAGAAAAAAAGCCTTAGTTCATCTCCCAATGAATTCAGAAAACACAAAAACAGTCTAGCCTTGTCTTTTGCACACATGCACCAAGATCTCTTTTTGTTTCAAGAGCTCCCTTATATGTCAGATATAGCTGTTATAAATGGAAATGACTATACTTATTATGTAAGTATAATAAATTCCATTTATAACAGTTATATCGAACATATTTTAGGTAAAATGCAAAATGCCAAAAGAATAGTGTAGATATGCCCTGAAACACAAGGACAGCCAAAGTACTAACTCTAAAGCATGTGTAATTTGTTTTGAACTGTTAGGAATTTTGTTGTATTTGGCTTCTTTCCACTTGGGTAGTTGATACATAACCTTGGGCTTCCTGAGGTTTGCATTTAATGTACAATTTATCTTGATTTTATAAGTCAATCTGTAAATTTCCCTGCCTGTCTAGTTAGGCATGGAGTTTATAGTAGGTAATGGCATACAAAAATTCTTAAAATCTCTTTATTGAAGTCTTGAGAATATATTGACCTGTTTGGGAACTAGAAGCATAGTGTTAAAGTGTCCTACTTTACCATGCTGTACATCGTTTCATAAAATCAATGGAATATAATAGAGTTTGAACTCATGATATAAAACTGACTTATGAATGGCAAAGAGTTTATTCAGATTTTTAAATCCCTCCCCCTTTCCCGCCCCAGTCTTCTTAGTACAGCACTCAGGAAAACAGCATGCTAACAAAGTTGAATGTTAAATCAATAAGAGATCAATATAGATTTTGGCACTATATTTTCAGGCCAACTTTCAAGTCTATTCAAAGGTGTAGTAGTGAATCTTCCTTATAGATAAGATAGAGACCGACCACAGACAGCAAATATTGACTAACATTTTTATATTTCATTACCAGGTGATCAACAATGAATTCCTAGAATGTCAGTAATATACACCGGGGCTGTGGAAGATACAAATCTCTCCACTGATCAGGACAGAGCACACTGTTATACTTAAGTCATGTAACCACATGGAACATCATTTTTCTCACTAAAAAAATAGATACGATAAAATACCTGGATTTCTACCTGAAAGAGTGATTATGTATTAAACTCATAAAAATTTAGACATGATTTATTTACATGTTTTAAAATTATTCTTTCCAAAAAACAAAGAAAAAGATGTTGCTTAACTAGTTGACTTTTGGAGTATAGTAATAACATGATTATACAGTCAATGGGCAAACTGAAATGTTAGACATGGAGGTGTAATGAAAAGTGATCCAGCATTTCTGTGGAATGTGAGTCAACAATAGCAATAAATCATTCATCTTAGTACTGAATAACTAGGTGTGGAGAAATATTGGTAGGAAAATGTCAGAACAATGCAACTGGCTCTGCAAACAGCACTTTTAGCCTGCAAGTATAAGAGAACAAGGAATCTTCTTTGTTTACATGAACACAAACCTAGACTTCCACCCTACAGACAGCTTTTGTGAGGGAGGCAAGCACTGTGCCCAGGGCCAAATCCTATGTTAAGTGTGTTGCATATGTTACTTCGCATAATCCTCCCAAAAAACACTCTGAAGTATCATGCCTCCCTGTTTACTAGATGAGAAAACTGACAGCTGAAGAGGTGTAGCCTCAAAGGGCTAGATGACTGGAAGAGGAATAGATGGGATCCAAATTCCATAATCTCAGCCCTCAAACATTTTGCTATCCTCCCGTTTAAGGCCCAAATCCTGGTTCTTATTTAAAAAAAAAAAAAAAAAAAGCTATTGAAGCTATTATAAAACAAAAGATAAGTTAACAATATATTTCTTGTACAAGGTTGAATATTGTGCCCCGTAAAATTTATGTCCATCTGGAACCCAAAATGTGGCCTTATTTTGAAATAGGGTCATTGCAAATGTAATCAGTTAAGACTGAAGTCATACTGGAGTAGGGTGGGTCCGAAATCCAATATGGCAGCTGTCCTTATAGGAAAAGGAAGAGACAGAGACACAGAGGGAATGGTGGGGAGGAGCTCTGTGATGATAGAGGCAAAGATGAGAGTTATGCTGCCATGAGCCAAGGAACCAATGCCAAGGATAGCCAGCAACCACCAGAAGTTAGGGGAGAGGCATGGAACAAAATCATCCTCTGAGTTTCCAAAAATCAACACTACTGACACTTTGATTTTGGACTTCTAGCCTCCTGAATTTGAAAGAACAAATTTATGTTGTTTTAAGCCACTCAATTTGTGGCTCTCTAACAGCCCTAGAAAATCAACACATTTCTGTATCTACATATATTCTATAAGGATATAAATATTCTCTATATAATACAATAAAAATACATTTATTTTATAGTAGTATACTATATATGCCAGCTATTTAACAAATGTTATTTTGTTTACACATCATAATTTTATGATGTAAGCTCTGTCTCCATTTTACAGAAAAGGCAGCAAACTCAGAGGATTAAGTGATTTGACCCAAATAAAATCGCTTATAGCAAAGTCAATATGAGGCCCGTGTCTTTCAGTCCTGGGCCTGTTATCCCTTTGATTTGGATCTTGTGCCCCAACTTTTCCTAGGAGATCCTTCCCAATTGATCTCATCTTTGCCATTTGCATCTTCAGTCTTTCCTTCTTTACTGCATCCCACTCTCCCTGTAAAAATACTCTTTCCAACCTAAAATTTCTCTCCCGTTGCCCATTATCATTCATTCAGCTAGATGTCTGAAATAGAGTCCAAGCATTAAACTAACCTTCCTTCCCCCCTTCCTCCCTTCCTTCCCTTTTTCCTTCCTGGCCAGGCTGGTCTCGAACTCCTGACCTCAGGTGATCCACCTGCCTTGACCTCCCAAAGTGCTAGGATTACAGGCATGAGCTATCATGTCCGGCCTAAACTTTCAAATATGACTTTTTCTGTGGACACTTCACTGCAGCCAAATTAGATTACTCTCTGCTCACGTTTTTCTCTTTTCTTGTTTTGTCATGCTTTGTGTTTCTTTTCTTTTTTCTTTTTATTTTTTTGAGATGGAGTCTGGCTCTGTCACCCAGGCTGGAGTGCAGGGGAACAATTTTGGCTCACTGTAACCTCTGCCTCCTTGGTTAAAGCATTCTCCTGCCTCAGCCTCCCGAGTAGCTGGGATTACAGGCATGTGCCACCACGCCCAGCTAATTTTTCTAATTTTAGTAGAGATGGGGTTTCATCATGTTGGCCAGGCTGGTCTTGAACTCCTGACCTCAGGTGATCTGCCTGTCTCAGCCTCCCAAATTGCTGGGAATACAGACATGAGTCACTGTGCCCGGCCTTGTGTTTCTTTTCTTTAGAAAAAAATCTGCTGGGTTTGTTCTAATTTTCCTTAATTAAAGTCCTACTCGTTCTACAGGGTTTAATCAATCATTCCAGATCAGTTCAACAAATATTTGTTGAGTACTTAAAGTACTTTTGTGTCCCAGACTTTGTTGTGCATACTAGGGATAAAATCAGGAATCAGACATGCATGTCACTACTCTTGAATATAATGCTTATACATTAAATTTAATTAGCTAAATTTTCTTATAAATTAATTGAATTTTCTCTATAAGCATTTCCTGATTCCTACCAACTGAAGTGATTTTAGTCATGTTTCAGGGATCTGGAAATTTTCCTGTTATCATAGCCTTTTCATCACCATAGCATTTAATGCCTCCCTTGTGGGCCATAATGCATTCATCCTGGTCTGACAGTTTCTTGAGCACATATGGAATCCTGCAGAAATAAAAACTCCTTGAATGAAGAAACTTGTTCTTTCCCATTTTAGTGTCTTCTCCAGAGTCTACAAATATTGAATCATATTCAATTAAGTATGAAAATCATAATATTAAAAAGAATGCATGGGTGAGAACTTAAAACCACTATGGCTCCAGAAACGAAAACTGTAATGATGAAAAAGAATATGTGAAAAATATTTACCTGGAAAAGTGAAAAAGATAAAAAACGAGGTGATTTCAGGAATTAATTACAGCAAGTACTAAGATGGCAGTTTATGGAGCTTGACCTAAGTTAAGGGTAGAAACTAGGTTACCTTTCAAGTCTGAAAAGCTGTGTTCTATAACTACACTCTCTAATCTGGGATTTGTCTAACTCTACAGAATGTAAACTTCATGAGGGTAGGAAGTTTTAACTGCTTTCTTCACTGCTATATTTTCAATATCCTACTTGATGAATCAGTAAAATTTCACGCTAACCACAGTAGTGTAGTAAAGAAGATCTAAATCTTATCAGGATCCGCTCGTGATTCCTGGTTAGCACACCTGTCTCTATTTGTGGTGGGATTAACTTCTGCCCTCAGATGGAAGCATTTAAAGCTAATCCTCGTGGAGATAGAATGTGGCTCAATTTAGAGTGTATCTTCTCAAGTGTGTTTCCTATTCGATTCCCGATTGTTTGGATGGTGTTCACTACCCCTTCCCAAAGCTTTGTTTTAACTTCAGGTATCTGCCT